GATACTCAACCGATTGAAGAGAAAGAATAGTAATCCTGGGTACCCTAGCGCCAGCTAATCTCCAGATAATCCTGGAAGAGCAGCGTCCCCTACTTTGTCCACGGGCCTAAAAGAACTAGATGGTGTTCAACACTCGTAGAAAGTGGTTTATAGTGCAGCGGGAGGCATGTGTGATACCTGGCACAGATGCCAAAAAAGATGATTACCCGAGTGGAGGCATGCACAACTCAAAGGGGAAAAAAACGAAAGAAAAATTAGTACTCGAGTATCGAAGTATTGTCCCCAGGAAAAACAAATTCCATCCCTGAACCGTTGGCCCGATCCTCGGATTATCATGATACTAAGCACCCGCGATGAAGTCCCCCTCGGTTTGGCGCAGCCCAGGCTTAGCGTGGAATAATTTGGTGGAATTGTTCCTGAAGCCTTGGTAAATCCGACATACCGTATCGCGCTTGCACGTTGCATTAATAGAGATGTGGCCCCGGGTCGCACACCACAAAAAATCCTTCTGAGCAACTGTGGAGCGACACGACAAACACGGAATATCGGGCAAGTAGGGCTCGGCTCGGGCCGTGGGGAAAGTGAGCAGTGAATGCAGTGGAGGTGCTTAAATCAAAACTCCGGTGAAAGCTATTCCTTCCCTGCCGACAACATCACGGCATCTTCCTTCCGAGTGATTGCAAATGAAGAAGCACTGGAAGATGTATTTGGAATACCGAACCAACAGGTCGGTACTTGCGACCTTAAAGCAATATCTAACGGCTTACCGGTAGCTTCTAACAGGTAATAAGCGTCATATAACTACCGGCAAGCCCCGCCATCAAGTTCGCTTTTTCCGGCGGCTCAATTAACGGAATTTCCCGACAGATATTAACTCGAGGCACGGAACCAATTACGTAATTCACGGTCCTTGAAAGCATTAGAGGAGAATCTCACATAACCTCCCTCGTACGGTACAGGGAGTGGATGTCTTAAGGGGCTTGCTATTGGTAGGGGGCAGGGGGAAAATAGGATGTGAATGCTTGTCCTGAAATGGCCAAACTTTAAAGCCAGAATCAACCCCTCCTTTTTCGGTCGCAATTGTTGATGCTCAACCCTGCCTGAACTGCACATCAACCTAAAGTTCCCGCCTACCGGGGAGGCTGGCCTGTGGGGGTCCCTTTGGTGTGACTCTTTAATGCACGCAAGGCTTCGGTGGGAAAAGTTTATCCTTAGGTGGTTGGAAGATAATCTTAACCAGTGTGTGATTCAGCCCCAAGACTTTGGGCATTGATCTTGGCATGGGGTATTCTGAAGTTACACGTTAAGGCAACCCTGGTGCTACATACAGTATACAAGTACGAATACATTCACTCACTACTCGAACCGTACCGCGCTACACAGGCACCGCTCCTGGGGTGAGAGGAAAGAGCAGGAAGGGTGTGAGAAGAGTTGAAATTTGAGTATTATTGGCCGGCTATCGAGAGTATGATACAAGGTACAAAAATGCAAGAAGAGGTTTTAGAAGCACGGTGCACATTATTCCGCTCTTCATGGGACATGAATGATGGGCCTCAGGGATACAGAGAATTTGGCTATCATACTATCCCCCTGCCTGGCCTGTTCGAAACTTTAATACGTCCGGGTCACCTTGGCTCAAGTTGACAATCGAACGCTACTGCCGGTACCTCTCAGGGCGTGACCACATCAGCGCATCATGGTTCACTCTCCCCTCACTCGGCCCAGGGCCCAGGCGTGCGGCTGACACACAGAACGTGGCAGCAGAGTTTCCGTCCAAACAAATCTTAACTCTCCCTATAATTAGACACATCTGCCTTTTCCGTCCACCGATAACTCAGAGGACATCATCATCAGTCCGTTCCTGTTGGTGGTACAAGAGCTTAGATCCCAGAACAAATGCAAATAAATCATTCGCCCTCGACGATCTTAACGGGGAAATATTATTACTCAGGAGGAGCATCGCCGGAGTGAGAGATGTGCAAGTCAGGGGGCGGGGGGGGATATTACTGTGAATCTTAGGATTGATTCTCCCCCGTCCTACGCCTTCCCAACCTGAGATACCGGCGATTCAGTTCATTGCTTTTCTATATGGTTTGTCCCTGGTTCCATGACTCTCTCTACTCGAGCAATCGAATGTATTCTGTACTCGTACGAGTATATTAGCAAGTTATGTTATTTGCTGTGAGGGAGGTGGCGGGTAGAGCGTTAAGTACAAGTTGAGTACTTCCGTAGCTAAGCCTTTTTCCCCAGACTCGGTTGAGCGAGCTAAGCTCTGCCTCTCCCGTAGCGAGAGGAAAGTTTGGATTCAAGACTCCCGGTCCCCCCCCGCCCTCTGTCACCAACAGCGGTGGCACTGCTTCTCCTATCATACTTAATAAGTACTCCTACATGAGTGTTTTTCTTTCTTTTTTTTCCCTTGTTCCCGAGCACAAAAAAATAAAAATAAAATATTATACCCCTTTCCGATACACCCAAGAGGAGGAAGAAGAAAAAAACAATAAACAAAACAACTACCACCCCGTTGATTTACCTATTTCCTATTAACCAAACAAGGTTTACCCTTAAGCACTGGGTACTATAATGGTACAGTGCTCGTACTGTAATAATTACTCGAGTAGTCGAGTATAACGGTGGTCACGCTCTCCTTTCTTTTTGCCCCTTCCCCACGGCCTTCACACGTGAGAGCGAGGTAAAGTTCCCCCCGTCCGCAACTGTCTTTGATAGAAATCACCAACGGTATCAAGTTGAGTTTTCTCGTGCAATACTTTTTTTCTTTCTTTTTTCCCTTTTCACCTCCCGTTTTCCCTTTTCACCTCCCGCTTTGACGATTAAGGGACCACAAGGTACAAATATCCAGGAATATGTTTTCGCACTGTTAATTTTGCTTAACCCGTAAAATAATCCTTGTCTTGTATTGTACGAAAAAGATATTGCTGAGTGCTTGTACCAGGACAAGCAGCAGTTACCGTACTCCAGTACATTATCGATAATCGTAGAGTGCTCGGGCATAATTTGCTTAGTTTCAAATTTTCGATATCGGTGAGAAGTCCTGATTGGACCGTACATGGTTTCCGACTCAACTCCATTGGCTAAGCGCTCTTTGCGGCAATGGGCGGTGGGAGTGCTCTATCCCGCTGCACCGGAAAAGTAGTGATGCATCTTTCAAGGGAAGGGCAGAACGGGAGAACAGGATAAAATGCTTTGGATTAGATCGGCCAAGGGCTGCGGGAATCCTTAATACTGCGCGTGGTAATATGGAATGCATGGGATGGAAAATAATCAGTAATTGTTAACGGCAGAGAACAGCAATCAATCGGCCAAAGAATACTCGTAGATTTCGAAAGGTCGCAATAAAGCTCTCTGTGCAGGGGGCGGGGGGGTTTGCTGATCCACCACTTCTTTTTTCAGAGGCCTATGTTTAATTAGCGCTTGGCAAGCCACTGGAATCGAGGATTCACAGTATATCTGATTCTTCTGAGCGAAGCTTTCGGTACGGCCCCCCGGTGAGGGCTACTCGAGTATGGTACGGTACATTACAAGTAGTATACAGGCTATTGCACAATCCAGCTTTAGAAGCAAAGCTCGGGGGGAAGATTTACGTTCCCTTTTGCAACCTTATGGAAATTCTCAATACCATACCCCATCGAAACTCCCAATGACCATAATTCCGGAGGGGGGAGTCATGATAAGGGTATCGTAGTCTATTCAATATCAAGGACCGGGAACGAAAGGAACGAAGGAGAGTGGCGGCAACGCTTATCTGGGAAGGAAAAAAAAAAAGAATAGAAAATCAAGACTGTAAAAGGACTACTACAAGTGCACATTCATATGATACAGTACATCCGGTTGTTCCCAAAAATAAATAACTAGGCACTACGTACCGTACATGGCGTATCAGAGGATCCTAAGGGAATGTTTCCTTGCTTTTTTGTGCGTGCGTTTCTTTTTTCTTCCTGGCTTGCCTTCTGAGTTACCTGCCTACCCTGCCTACTACCTTGTTTACTGCTGCTGCGGTCTGCCAGCTCAGTCCAGAAGAGACGGAGAAGGGAGGAAAGGAAGGTAGTAAGTATTCTGTCCACTTCGGACTTGGGAAGGAAGAAAAAGAGGGGAAATCAGCGTTTGTGGACAGGATACTTTTTTAACAAATCTTCGGACCGAAACCCGCGAACCAATCGTTGGGGGAACGAAGGTGTCTGGGGGGATCTTGGTTTTTACCAAATAAAGTCTGATCCATTGATTAATAAGTTGAGCGTAGAGGATGGTGATGCATTGATGCAGAATATGCTTGCTACCGTCCAGCAGTAATTCAAAAGAGAAAGAAACACGAGTGCTAGCACGAGCTAGTTAATCATATTCTAACCCCCCCAACATCGCTCTACTCGAGTAACGCCGCAGCACACCATCCGTATAACCAACAGCCAACGAAGCCTTGAAATAAGGTGAGTGAAATACATACAAGTAGAATTGAACATTTTATATAAATAAATAAATCCGAAAACTTCGTGCCATGAAGCGCCGCCCGAGAACATCAGAGAGTCGAACAGAGCAATATTGGGGTACCTTTGCCAGTTTCCTTGCTCGTCTGCCATCGTGTACTCAGCACCCACTCCACCGCCACCAAGAGGAGACCCCAAAAAAGAAACAAGGAAATGGTATTGCCAAAAAAAAAAAACCAGAAACTCGCCGCCATTAATTTTGTCAAATAACGTAAGATAATAAATAGGTGAGGGAGTCAATCGATAGAACAATGAGACTAAAGTTAACATGCAAAGGATGTAAATGGGAATAAAGCAAAAAGGTATCCCGAGTCTTGAGCACACCCGATATTTTCTGGGGAAAGAAAGTAAATGACTCGCATTTTATCGAACATCACAATAAGCCACACCCAAACCGGAGAAGACAAGAAAGGGAAATCCAGAAAGAATACAGATCCAAAGTGAAGGAGAATTAATACACAACACTCAGTCGAGCACAGAAAAGGGCCTAGCCTCTCCGATTTATCAAGGCACACCCCCATCCCCACCACCCCTTGCCAAAGAGCTATCACCAAAGCTAAAGTTCCCCATCATTGGCCAGCCATTCGGTGGCTCATTACTTTGCGAAAACGGGCTTCTGCTCGCAATAACCCCGCCCGGACTCTCCGCCGTGGTAACAGTACTTAGGACGATCCCACCGGGAGTGCTCACATTCGCGTTGCTATGCTGGGCGGGAGGATCTGGGCGAATGATGCTGTTATTACAATCCCTGTTTAGAGTGATAAGTGCGCTGGCAGAAGAGTAAGTTTCTGTCGGGTCTAATTCGCCCGCCATGTGGGAGATTGAGTGCGTATATTCGCGCCAAGATTCGTTGCCCGACCACCAATCAATATTTGGATATGACGGAGCAGTGCTCTGGGGAAAAACGGGCGGTTGCGGGTTGTAGATTGGCCCTGTGTGGGTGAGTGACGATTCAAAATTGGTGTCCGGCAGTGAGACAACCACTCCGGGGTCATTGAAGATTGAGGGCCGGTTGTCGTGCGGAGGCGGGTAGAGTGGAGGCTGGAATTGGTCCTGAGGGACTTGAGAAGTCGATGGGATTTTCATCGCCGGAGGTGCCGTTGCCGGAGCGTTGTATTGAGGGGATGTAGTGTACGGTGGGTATGATGGGTTTGCACTCCCTCGGGCGGTTGGCACAGCGCGGGGGTTTTGCTCTTTCTTACGGTTAAGAAGCTCCATTGTTCCATGGGTTAGGAGTTGCACTACTTCTCGTAGTCTGTTTGGAGAGCCTATGGAAATGAGTTAGTCTGAGTCTTCGGCCCCAACGGGTAATTGAGGACGTACCCAGGAGACTTCCAACGTCGCCCATTATGTCCATACACAAATCCATGTCGGCCTTGACTTGTATCACCTCGTCGGAAGTAACCGTGTCTCTCTTTTGCCATACGGAAAACAGTATTGTTAGCGTAGCTATAAGCTGAATAGTAGTTCCGGACCAAGTTGTGTCCAAGTAATGGCTCCCTTTGCGCAGCTCGTCTGTTAGGTGCAGAATCTGGCGTGATGAGTCAACGCATATTGTTATGCAGTCACTCGTAAACGAGGGGGATGGCGAAAGGCTCAGCGATGGATGGCGCATGAGGATTCGACATCTACGGCATATTAGCGCGGGATTAAATGGAATCCATACGTTAAGTCAGACTCACTCATGGTACCAGGAAGCTAAGTGCACTGCCTGAAATCTCTTTTCCATCTTGGGTGCATCGAGAGCTATGACCTATCAGCAAAATAGTAACCACTAGGCAGTCTCGTTGTCCATACCTATGCTCTTGGGGGCTTGGGCCCTCCACGCATCCAGCTTGGCCTCGAGCTCTTGCACAAGAGAGACGTATTTCTCCGTCGAAGGCCGTGCAGGAGTGTACAATGTTCCCAACATCTCGATATAGAGAGTAGTAAACTTGAACATTTCAATCGCGACATCGAATGAACATTCATCAACGCTCTCATCGCGCTTGATGAACCCAGTTTCGGTAATATATTCGTCGTCAATCCGTTCGGGGTATTCAACGTCGTAATCTACGGCCCGTATGCTCATCGGCCTACCAAGTCTTGCGCTCAGGGATGTTTCCAACGTCAGAGTGGACCAAAAAATTCGTTTTCGCAGTTCTATTTCGATGATATTCTGTGTCGAGCCAGGGTAGACCCATTTCTTGGGTGACCGGTGGAGACCGAGCTCGAAACATAGCGAGATTGCGATTCGGGATAACAGCCAACTTCCACCGGGTTTGGGGAAAGCGCGAAGATGTTGGAGGATTAATCCAATGGCCTGGAGATCTTCAAGGGCGGAATGACTAAGCAAACCATAAAAGAATGAAAGGGCGTAATGGTAGTGGTTGCGTGAACGTTGCATGACCTCAACTGAAGCAGGTGTAGTGTGACCTCGATTCTTCATGCGATCCCGCGTCGCATTCTGGAAATGCACAATGGCAAAAACCATATGAACCATCACAATCTGAGCAGGGCTAGCTTCGTAGGTCTTGTCTGTGTACATTTTATCAAGCTAGAATGGTAATCGATTCAGCGATATCCACAAAACCGGGGCGGGTAATGGAAACGGGGGAGCTCTACCATTGTGATAAAGGTTGGACGGTGAAGGATGGGTAGGTATGGGTGGGATATGAGGAAGAACCAATCCACATATTGAAAAGCTTCATCGCGCGGCGGTAGTTCCATCTTCGGCACATTTGGGTTAACATTGAAGATGGTTGAAAGGCAACTGCTAAATGATTCATCATTCGCATTGGAGGGATGACTCGGTTCACTAGGATCCAGGTCTGACAAGTCAATATCAATCCCAAGAAGAGACAAAGCCGAAGCTTTGATAGAACTAAGATAAGAAGACCCCGAAGAAATCCCCAAATAATGAGTCCCGGTATTCCCGGGACGAAAGCTCGCAGACCGAATTGATTGGCACAGCGTCTCTGGTGTCTGAGAAGAACAGCAAGATCCGCCCGAGGTGGGAAAATTCCCCTGGCCGGGCCCAGTGAAGCCTTTCCTACTACTCTGATTCCAGGATCCATCAGAGCCAGCCTTGGTGCCACTTATGCCCCAGTCACTGGTGGTTCGCGGAGCGAATCCGTTGGTCCCACTAGCACCATTGCTCCTACTCTCAAATCCCATTCTCGCGAGCGCAGCATCCATCTCCTTATTCTTAGCTTCAAGCGCGGCACATTTTGCCTCGAGACTCTCTACGTAACCACGAGGGATAGCCTTCTGCGAAATACGGTCGGTAGTTCGGCACTCTGTTCGGTTCTGGATACATGGCGAGCAACCTCCTGGCAGGCCGTCACATCGGATTTTGCGAACCTAAACCATTAAGAGCATTAGCGAATTGAATAAGAGGACAGGAGTTACGGGAATAAATGGACGGGAAAGGTTGCACGAGAGACCATGAGGGAGGAAACAAACCTTACACCTATCACAGGCTTGACCAGTTCTTGAAGAAGTCGCCAAACGCTTCTTTACAGTTCGTGTGAATTCATCGGCAGGATAAAAATCACCACTAGTGACCCCACCAAGTGCAGCAGCTGTGGTTGTAGTGGTGGACGAAGATGAGGATTGACGCTTGGGCGGCATGTTCCTTTTACTTTCTCAAGAGATGTCGCGAGGATGGGATGATCACTAAACCACTGCACAGCTCCTTTTCCGATAAAAAATATTTCCCAACTCCAGACTCCTCTATGAACTTGTAAGCACCCGTAGTCCCAAAGAAACTAGTGAATATTTTGTTCACTTGAGATGATCTCGATCTTTCTCTTACTTTCTTTTTTTTTGTTTTCAGTTTGTTGAGCTGGTTAATTTTATATTCGAGAAGGGTCGTAGTAGAGTACCAGTCACCCGGTTTTTAGCGTAATGTGATAGGCCAGATGTGGGTTGGTTAGTGGTGCCGGGACTGGGGTTTTTTGAGTAAAGCGAGCGCGAACTTAGGTAAACTGTAAGAAATTCCTCGTGGGCTACAAGAACAACCAGGATGGCATCTCTCTGCCCGGAGAAATGCCACCAGAGGAAAAGGTAGTGGGTGAGGGTGGGGTGAAGTGGAGAAAACGAGGCCACAGCTGGCGGTGTCTTTGAGTGGGAGAGACTTGAACAGAGACTCGGACAGGTGGTGGAACGAAAGCGAAGGGGAAAACGAATGGATGGGCTGGCTGACTGGCGGAGGCGGCGAGGGGGGGGAGAGGGAAGGGAGAAGAGGGGGGGTGGATGGAAAAGAAAGATGGATAGGATGTGGTGTAGGGTTATGTGGGTTAGGCGAAAAAGGGACAGGATGGAGATCTTGTGTGGAAAAGAAAGAAGAAAAATCAATCAGAATCAAAGAAGAGAATTCGAGACTTCAAGCAGAGGAGGAAGGGGAAGGGAAAAGCTTGAGAAGACGTCAAAAGGATGCTTCAAGATACCTGCAGGCGGGCGGAGGCGAAAGGATCCAATACGGCTTTTTCCGTCATCCAAGAGCTGGGGAAGGGGGGCGGCAGCTAATTCTACCTACCCCCTTGTTGGGGAGTGGAAGGGCCCTCGGTTTGGGCCAGGAGAATACGGTATAGAGGGTATCAGCATGTGTGGTTTAGTGCAGTTATTATGATCCTCATTGTGTGATATGACCTCCCGAATTAATCTATTCCTGAATTCGCATAAGTCAGAGGAGAGATGAGGAGGGAAATAGGAAGATGGTTGGAAGGAAGGGGAAAAACAAATGCTGAGCCATCATAGATTGCCCTATCATACTCCCTCATTGGGGTTTAAAAATAAGAAAACGAAAACCCTTTTTCTGTGGACTCTCACTTAACTCACGCCTTTCTCTCACCTACCGCGAGTCTTATCTACAGTATCATACCTACTGGTATGATACCATGCTTATTCTCTCCCATTCAACCCTGCTCAGCTCATGGTTCAAGCTCGTGGCTGACTTCGCAAGGGACGAAAGAAATCGCCAAGGCATTTGTATGGCAAAGGTTACCACGCCCGCGGGGGGTTGGGATGGTAGGAATAAGAAAATAAAGGAAATGAGAATCTAAGGAGACTGCGAATAAAAGAAAAAATCATAAAAACAAAATAACGCAGGTCCTGTAGAAATAAGGGTGAGAGGGGGAAAAAGTAAAAAAAAGTGAGCTTGGGAGAGAAGGATAAAGGAGAAGGGAGTGGAGGAGGGGGAGTAAGAGGAAAATGGGAAAGAACACTTCCTTCGGTCAGTGCTCTAGTCTCCTCTGTTTGCGTCTAAGTGGATCAATCTCAAAGTTTCCGTCGCTAGTTTCCTCTGTTGGTTTAACAACGGTTTTGGGTGATTGTGTCGGAGGGAGGGGCATGGTTGGTCAAAAAGACAGCAACAGAGTCTCAGATGAGAAATGCCAAAGTACTACAAGTAGTCCACTAAAGCGGGGGGACTCTCTAGGATAGCGCTACCGTTCTCTACGAGTACAGTACTCGTACGGAGGTACAGCACCTAAGTTTTGTATGTTACACTCGCAGTGGGCATCGTGTTAGCAACCGGTGTAACATACAAAACTTAGGAGCTGTACCTCCGTAGAATATTGAGTACATTCAGTAGGGAAATGGAAGAAATTTAAGGGCGCGTCTGGTTGCCAAGGTGTTTTGAAACCTTGATAATGGAAAAATGAGAGTTGCATTGAGAAACTACAATAATGTTAAGTTGACAGTTTGGACTCATGTAATGTCACAATGGCGTATCTGGTCACCCTCAATAAAATGCCAAGAAATAACAAGAATTGAGGTGTTCTATGAATGTGTATATAGCTGAAATATATGTCAGGATATTTTACTTTATTGTATAATATATAATCAATAAATACCATTCTACTGTTGTCATCTCAGTTATGTTTTTTGTTTCTTTCTTTATTGAATATTTACTATATTGTTAATACCAAAAACCAGTGTGAAATGGAAGTAGTCTGATGGGATGACACAGACACTGCTCAAAGTACTTCTAGAGCAAGCATTACAGGAAAAGAAGGTAGAGAATCAATTTAAGAAGGCATGGGCTACAGTACGAGTTGAATTGAGGGATGCTCATGATATTGACTTGAAAGATATACAGTTGAAGTCAAAGTGGGCAAATGTAAGTTAATTATATTATATTATTCTAATAGTAGAAAAAGTAACAATATAAAAGAATAAAACTAAGGCCCTATTGGACATGTTAAAAATACAATAATATTTCCACTTTTATAGAGTATTTTTCACAGTATTTTTATTTTAGTTGGACCTAGTGTTTGGCAACAACGAATACTATAGTATTTTTATAAAAATACAGCTGTATTTTTTTACTATAGTATTTTTCTTACAAATAAAATAGACAAATAAATTGAGGCCTATATCAAGTAATATTATGTGACATTATTAATTGTAATCTTGTCCTCCACTATAAATATCTTCTTATATCTTTATATTTGCATTCTTAAACATAGAATTACAAGAAATTCCTCTCTTACAATTATTCCAATATATAGCCTCCAGTTCAACAATATATTTTTCTCCAAAATCATAGATGCCAATTCGAATATTACTAATAGCAATGCAACCAATGTTTCTTTCAGACTCAATGCCTGCTTTCTGTGAAATATTACAATTGCTGACACAGATGTTATGAGTACACAATACGTAGTCGAGCCATGTCACACTTCAGCACTTACAGGAAAAGCTTACATTAAGGAACTTCTTGCTCCTTCGACTAATCATCCATGAGTAGTTGAGGTATTGAGAATATCGCGTGAGGTATTTCATGAACTATGTCAATGGTTTATGGAGAGAGGTCTTCTTGCCTTAAGAAGATTCGTGGATGTAGACAAACAGGTAGCTATATTCATTTGCACTGTGGGTTGGAATACTTTGAATTGAGAAGTACAAGAAATGTTTCAGCATAGTGGTCATACAGTAAGCCGGTAAGTTCAAATTGCCTCTATCTCTTTAATTATTGTATATGAAAACTAATCCACTATAAAAATAATATATACTTCAATCTTGTTTTACATGCTTTGATAAAGTTTCATACAAGTTTGGTAACTCTTCCACAGAATGAGTGCCTATATGAAGTCTAGAGAAGCAAGCAATTTTACTATTAATTCAAGGATGTACTAGGAGCGATTGATGGAATGCATCTTCTCGCACATGTATCTGCAGAGAATCTTGGACCATTTCAGAACTGTAAGGACCAGATTACATAAAGTATGATGGCAGCTGGTACTATTGACCTTCAATTTTGCTATATATTGGCAGGATGGGAGGGGTCAGCTCATCATGGAAGAGTGTTGAGTGATACATTGGAAAAGGAGTTTGTAATACCACAAGAGAAGTGCTACCTTGGTAATACTGGATAAGAATTAAGAGAGGGATGCTTGACACCAGACCACAGAGTTTGCTATCATCTAGGTGAGTAGTACCAATCTCGTAACAGGTATGTAATCCTCTGAGTTTCTCCATAAGCTTGTACATAAGTGGAGTATAATTATAGGATTATAGTCTAAAAATATGTCCAAATACTAATATTGTATTGAAACAAGGCCAAAGAACATGAAAAAGTTGTTCAATTTATGACATTCTCAGTGGAGGAACTCTGTTGAGTGCATATTTGGTGTATAGAAGTGAAGATTTCCAATCTTGAAATCAGCTGCAGAATATCCATTCCCAAATCAGGTTTAACTTGTTTAAGCTCCCAGAGAGTTACATAACTTTATTAAACTCCATCAATATCCGTTCGAAATAGACTACATTGATGATGAATGGGTAGCGCAGATTGACAATCATCCCTCAAGTGGTGAGGCTCAGCCTAATCAGACTAATACTGAACCAGATAGGTGGAAAGTGAATGAAGATGAGGGAAATATGATTGATGAGGAATCAGCAATAGGGAGATTGTAAGATGAGATTGCATTAGAAATGTGGAGAGATTACCAGTTGTACTTAAATAGCAATAGAGTCTAGCTTTTTAAAATGAATTAAATGGCACTTGTATTCAACTAATAATATGCTACTTTATACATGGGGGTAAAGCTATCTAGTTTACATTTTAAGAGGCAAGTTGTGCTGTAATCCAATTGCTTCTAATTCCAGGAAATTAAACAATTGCCAGAAATCCAATTGCATTTTTTCTCTTCTGAAGAGCAAGTACCAACTTTGTAATCTCAGACTTTGTATACTCTCCAGACTTGGTGTACAGCTACAGAAACTTATTCATTGCCTCCTCCTCGTTACTAGTTTGACCTTGGAATCTCTTTATGACAGCCTCATGATAGAGAGCAAGAAGAGCATTTGGGCATATGTGTTGCCAGATTCTACATGTACAAGTGTGTTTGTTTTGGTAGCCAACATTACTTGGCTCTTCTAACTCTCCAATACTAGCATCAGACAAACTACTGCGACTGCAGTCAAGTGAGTTGGAACCTTGGCGATAAGAGCTCGCAGTAATTCTATTCCTGGGCCGATCAGTACAAGTAAACAAGAAATTACTAGGCACTCTACTCCTAATAACCATCATGTCCTGGTCTGACTCGCCACTAAACTCCTCACTATCATGTTCAAACTGTTAGGCGGAGACAACTTGATAGACTTCAAAGTTGTCTAGGCCAATCGAGATTTGTTTCTGTAGATGGAGATTGTCTAGGAAGGCTAGGACTTTGCTCGTTTCGTTTATGACTACTAGGAGCGAAGTAGAGTAGGTAAAGTAGGGTAGAATTGTAAAAACAATATTATATTGTTAAGGTCTCTTCTCCGTTACTTGATTATGTTTAAAGCTTGGGAGGTACTTCGATATTTATATTCCACGTCTGAGTGTTCGCGGACTACATCTATTTATCATACAACTATGTACTTCTTCAATTGTAATTCGCAACATTGAGTTTTCTTCCAAGGTGCGAACATCTGTGGACCCTGAAAATCATCACACCCTCTTCTGTAATTACGATATTTCTTCTTAGGAAGCGTGCTGTCCCCAATAGTAATATCCCAATTAGCAGAGTCTTTAGACTTATGGCCTAGTTCTTAAGTCGAACTGAGTTGGCTCCAATTGTCT